ATATTTCAGCGCGTCCTCATGAAATAGCAGTTCTAGTAATAACTATTTACTGGGAAGCACCAATGTGTAGTTATGGATCACCAGAAAGTTGACTCTTGTGTGTTGAATTTGGACAAACTGGAAACTTTTTTTTAACCGCAAAATTAATATGAGACTTAACCTAACATTTCCTAGTACTCCTAGGTCTACCCCTGCCACCAATACTGCCGCCCAGCCACCCCCTGCCACCAATACTGCCGCCCAGCCACCCCCTGCCACCAATACTGCCGCCCAGCCACCCCCTGCCACCCACGCTGCCGCCCACCCTCACCCCTGCCACCCACGCTGCCGCCCACCCTCACCCCTGCCACCCACGCTGCCGCCCACCCTCACCCCTGCCACCCACGCTGCCGCCCACCCTCACCCCTGCCACCCACGCTGCCGCCCACCCTCACCCCCTGCCACCCACGCTGCCGCCCACCCTCACCCCCTGCCACCAATACTGCCGCCCAGCCACCCCCTGCCACCCACGCTGCCGCCCACCCTCACCCCTGCCACCCACGCTGCCGCCCACCCTCACCCCCTGCCACCAATACTGCCGCCCAGCCACCCCCTGCCACCCACGCTGCCGCCCACCCTCACCCCCTGCCACCAATACTGCCGCCCACCCTCACCCCCTGCCACCAATACTGCCGCCCAGCCACCCCCTGCCACCCACGCTGCCGCCCACCCTCACCCCCTGCCACCAATACTGCCGCCCACCCTCACCCCTGCCACCAATACTGCCGCCCAGCCACCCCCTGCCACCCACGCTGCCGCCCACCCTCACCCCCTGCCACCAATACTGCCGCCCACCCTCACCCCTGCCACCAATACTGCCGCCCACCCTCACCCCCTGCCACCAATACTGCCGAAAACCCTCACCCCTGCCACCTATACTGCCGCCCACCCTCACCCCTGCCACCAATACTGCCACCCAGCCACCCCCTGCCACCAATACTGCCGAAAACCCTCACCCCTGCCACCTATACTGCCGCCCACCCTCACCCCTGCCACCCACGCTGCCGCACACCCTCCCCCTGCCACCCTCTTTTTAAACCCGTCATGAAATCTTTGGCCCGAATATCTATTAATCAATATTAAAGTTTTATACAAATCTTTACATATACATTATGAATCATACGCCTTCATTATGAATTACCCTAACCTAACCTCACCTCACCTTACCTAACCTAACCTAACGTAACCTGACTTTACCTAACCTAACCTCACCTAACGTAACCTAACCTAACGTAACCTAACCTAACGTAACCTGACCTAACCTAACCTAACGTAACCTAACGTAACCTAACGTAACCTAACGTAACCTAACGTAACCTAACGTAACCTGACCTCACCTAACCTAACCTAACGTAACCTGACCTGACCTGACCTGACCTGACCTGACCTGACCTGACCTAACCTAACCTAACCTGACCTGACCTCACCTAACCTAACCTAACGTAACCTGACCTCACCTAACGTAACCTGACTTTACCTAATCTGACCTAACCTCACCTTTCTTCCATTCGAATGAGGAAATATTATTCGAAACTCAGCATTTAAAAGTGTGTGTGTGAGGTGGTAATTAAGCAACAGGCGGAGGACGCCTCGCAATGGTAAGAATTCTGGGATGAGCGCGGCAGGTTAATTAAGGGGGCACTGGAATAATTTACACTTTCATAACTGGTTAAGTTGGCTGTTGTGGTGGGGGTTTGGTGCTTGTGGGACGGGAAGGCAGAGGCCGAGAGAGGGTATACGATGTTAGTACTTTTTCAACTCTAACAAAGCCTCTCAAAGTTCCTAGAACCTAATCCCCCCAGCCGTAATAAGGCTTCAGAAGTGGACAGTCGTATTGGTGTAGTTAAACACTGTATTATGTGGCTGTTGTGGTTGGCTTCACGGTGATAATTACGATGTGTGTGTGGGTGTGTTGTCTTTACTAATGGTGCCTGTAGAATCGAGATGTTATATAGCTCCTGGGCTCTGCCTTTGTGAACGGCGGTTGTCTGATGTACTGACTCCCGATCTATTTCTCTTCTCATATCTCTCTTCTCTTCTCTTATCTTCATATCTACTACATATTTCTCTTTCACACCCAAACAAGCACTCACGCACACGCACACACACACACACCGGAGAGAAGGGACTTCGTGACAAATTGCCAACATGGGTTCAGGGAGGGTAAATCTTGCCTGACTGGCTTAATAGAATTCTACGATCAGGTGACAAAGATTAAACAAGAAAGAGAGGGCTGGGCGGACTGCATTTTCTTAGATTGTCGGAAAGCCTTTGACACAGTACCGCATAAGAGGCTGAAACATAAGCTGGAGAAACAGGCAGGAGTAACTGGTAGGCACTCCGGTGGATAAGGGAGTACCTAAGCAATAAGAATCAGAGAGTTACAGTGAGGGGTGAGACCTCAGATTGGCGTGAAGTCACCAGTGGAGTCCCACAGGGTTCTGTACTCGGACCTATCCTGTTTCTGTTATACGTAAATGATCTCCCAGAGGGTATAGACTCATTCATCTCAATGTTTGCTGACGACGTCAAAATTCTGAGAAGGATTAAGACAGAGGAGGACAGCTTGAGGCTTCAAGAAGACCTGGGACAAGCTGCAGGAATGGTCGAACAAATAGTTGTTAGAGTTTAACCCAAGCAAATGCAATGTAATATGTCAGACCAATCATGGAGTATGCGGCTCCAGCATGGAGTCCATATCTAGTCAAGCTTAAGACTAAACTGGAAAAGATTCAAAGGTTTGCCACCAGACTAGTACCCGAACTGAGGGGTATGAGCTACGAGGAGAGATTACAGGAATTAAACCTCACGTCACTGGGAGACAAAAGTTAGAGGGGACAAGGTGATCACATACAAGATTCTCGGGTAGAATTGATAGGGTAGATAAAGACAGGCTATTTACCCCAAAGGGCACACACACTAGGAAACACAAGTGGAAATTGAGTGCACAAATTAGCCATAGAGACGTTAGAAAGATTTTTTCAGTGTCATAGTAGTAGACAAACAGAATGCATCAGGAAGTGATGTGGTGGAGGCTGACTCCATACACAGCTTCAAGTGTAGATATGATAGAGCCCAACAGGCTCAGGAACCTGTACATTAGTTGATTGACAGTTGAGAGGCGGGACTAGAGAGCCAGAGCTCAACCCCCGCAAGCACAATTAGGTAAGTACAAAGGGCCGCTGATTGGCTGCCCTGAGGGCACCACCAGCCTCACCTCTCACTGCTCCCATTCATCCTGTTTTGTTTCACTCTTGTTCATCTCGCGTGACGTGTTCAATGTCCTCTTCCTGGGGATACTTAGGAGTGCTTTCACTCTTACCACGTTATCCACTCGTTCAGTTATTCTCTTGGATTCCTCTTGTCCTCTTTGAATCCTCTTATTCTCTTGCATTCCTCTTATTCCTTTTGGATTCCCCTTATTTTCTTTGATTCATCTTATTCCTTTTTGGATTCTTCTTATTCTCTTGGATTACTCTTATTCTCTTGGATTACTCTAATTCTCTTGGATTACTCGTATCCTCTTTGTTTCCTCTTATTCTCTTGGATTACTCTTATTCTCTTGGATTACTCGTATCCTCTTTGTTTCCTCTTATTCTCTTGGATTCCTCGTATCCTCTTATCCTCTTGGAGTCCACTTATTTCTAGTGTTAACATTTTTATGAAGACGATAAATTTGCGAGAGTGGTTTTGGTAAACCTTCTCCCTCCCTCGCTAACAAAGATAATGGCGAAGGGGGGTTAGGGGAAGGGGGGGTTAGGGGAGGGGGGTGGAGCTAGGGGAGGGCGGGAGGGGGAGGTTTGGGGAGGGGGGAGGAGGGAGGTTTGGGGAGGGGGGAGGAGGGAGGTTTTGTAAACATTCACCACATTAGTTCGTTGGAGTAACGATATCGTTGCCAGTTTTCTTCCATTTTCGTCGCTGCCTCATTCCAGGCAGTAGTTTACAACCCCTGACAAGGGGGGAGGAGGGGGGGCATGACAGCCGAGTGGACAGCGCTTGGGATTCGTAGTCCTGAGGTTCCGGGTTCGATCTCCGGTGGAGGCGGAAACAAATGGGCAGAGTGTTTTCCACCCATGATGCCCCCCTGTTCACCTAGCAGTAAATAGGTACCTGCGAGTTAGACAGCTGCTACGGGCTGCTTCTTGTGGGGGGGATGTAACAAAAGGAATGCTTGTTGGTTGAGGACCGGAAATCTAAGCCTCGAAATCATCTCAAGATAACCTCAAGATAACCCTCCCCTAAGCTAACAACCACGACATGGCGTTGTCTTCTTATAACACCCGGGAAGGCGGATAAGGCACCTTAACAAGCCCAAACTGTTCTACTGGATCGTAGAGGATCAACATTGTGTCCTGGAATAATCAATACACAAGTGTCACCCTCCAGTGCTGTGGACACCAACACGCAACGCTATTTTTTGACATCGTTACGTCGTAACGTTGCTGAGACGTTTGGGGGCTACGTTCTTTAGTTGCTGGAACGTCAAGACGTCTCCCTTGATCCCCTGCACCATCTCTCAACCAAACCCCGCATCATATCTCTAAAACAATTTTGTTTAACATGGTTGAACTTGGACCTTTGACAAGCAACCAGCTTCCTGTCCCCTTTTAGGCCACGCGAGAGGGTGGACCTCGGGTAAATTCAGGTAACGAGGGGGGGAAGAGATTGTTGCAGCTGTCGTAGAGAGCCTTGAGTGTTTCTTGCACTATCCAATGTCTGGGTTATCGTAGTAAGGACCGCCTCCAATCGATTCTTATGGTAGATAATCAGGAGGAACCCTACAGGTGCGGGGGGTGTGGAGGAGGACGTCTACCCTTCCACGATGGAATGGGAGCTGTTGCTTAGTCACCCCTCCCACCCCTCCGCGCTGGGAGGGGTGGGAGAGGCAGCTGACGGCTAGAGACCAGCTCGCGCGGGTTTATGGATAAGGGAACGGGCCTGTGAGAGGGGGAAAAGACCAGACTTCAGGGACAGTGGTCCAGACCGCAGTGATAATGGTCCAGACTGCAGTGATAATGGCCCAGACCACAGTGATAATGGTCCAGACTGCAGTGACAATGGTCCAGACCACAGTGACAATGGTCCAGACCACAGTGACAATGGTCTAGACCACAGTGACAATGGTCCAGACCACAGTGATAATGGTCCAGACCACAGTGACAATGGTCCAGACCACAGTGACAATGGCCCAGACCACAGTGACAATGGTCCAGACCACAGTGACAATGGCCCAGACCACAGTGACAATGGTCTAGACCACAGTGACAATGGTCCAGACCACAGTGACAATGGTCCAGACCACAGTGACAATGGCCCAGACCACAGTGACAATGGTCCAGACCACAGTGACAATGGCCCAGACCACAGTGACAATGGTCCAGACCACAGTGACAATGGCCCAGACCACAGTGACAATGGTCTAGACCACAGTGACAATGGTCCAGACCGCAGTGACAATGGTCCAGACCACAGTGACAATGGTCTAGACCACAGTGATAATGGTCCAGACCACAGTGACAATGGTCCAGACCACAGTGATAATGGTCCAGACCACAGTGACAATGGTCCAGACCGCAGTGACAATGGTCCAGACCACAGTGACAATGGTCCAGACCACAGTGACAATGGTCCAGACCGCAGTGACAATGGTCCAGACCACAGTGATAATGGTCCAGACCACAGTGACAATGGTCCAGACCACAGTGACAATGGTCCAGACCACAGTGACAATGGTCCAGACCACAGTGACAATGGTCCAGACCACAGTGACAATGGTCCAGACCACAGTGACAATGGTCCAGACCGCAGTGACAATGGTCCAGACCACAGTGATAATGGTCCAGACCACAGTGATAATGGTCCAGACCGCAGTGACAATGGTCCCTTCACTGCCAACCAATCAACCTAAAATAATAGTATTTTTACCAATTATCAGACGTAAAAAAAAGAATATTTACGCAGCTAAAAGCACGGTTTTTGCTATTTAATTTCGAGAGGACATAAGAAGGCAGCAACTTCACCTAACCTTTCATAGGCGCACACAAAATTAGGCCTAAGTTTACCTATAATAGGTCTAAGATTGCTTATTTACTCCTAAGGCAAATTAGGCTATATTTTTGTGGCAGGACGTTTATAGTAATCTAAAAATTACATGTACAAAAGTACCGCATAAGAAAAAAAAGTGGATTTTGTTAAGTTTACCCAAACACTGAAAATATTGTTTTAAGTTTTTTATGATGTTTTCTTGTAAGCAATTATTAGGATATTAAAGATTTGGCTAAAGAAATGGTTAAACTGTTTGACAGACAAGTGACAGAGCGAGAGATTCAGCAAGAGAGGCAGAGACAAAGACGGTATTGATTACCTTATTAATAACTGCGACAGAGGTCGTTAAGGGTCAATTGGCATTTAATCTAGCGACTCGTAAGATCATTATAGGCTAAATTGGACGGCCTTAATGTTTTACACAGGTTGGTGCAGGGGTAGATGCCTTCTGACTTCTGCTGGTAGGCTTAGGGACCCATGCACAAGAAAATAGCAATAACGTGATGTAACTATGAGAAAAATCTTTGAAGCATGACTGTGGAATCGAACCAGCGTCGTGGTTAACACCAAGTCCGTCATCATAAACAAAAGCGAAAGTCGATTCCATCCACCCGCCAAACCCCAGCTGTTTATGAATGAAAAACAGTTTACACACGACTCACAACTGATTTCGTTCGAACACTTCCGGAACAAGTGCTTCACTGACGAATTTTGTTCAAACCACAACGCTATAAATGCTTCACCCACATACTACAAATACAAATAATTGCCAACAGAACCTAAACACCTAACCTAACCTCCGCCTAACTATACATAGAATTTGTATGTATAATAATATTCATTTATATATGAGAACAAACCAAGGTTTAATACACAGTATGTTAAAATTGATGAATGCGTCTTGGGGAGGATCCCCGCTGCTTTAAACAGCCTAGAGTGAGAACGGGTTGAGGTGTGCTACCACTGCACCGCAGACACATCTGCTAGCTTACCATGACCAACTTTAAGAAAAATATTGCAACTAATTTCACTCAAAATATCCATTGTGGATAACAACTAATTTTATAAAATATATAAATCACACGTATTTTAATTAATGTCTACATCATTGGTCATCAGCAGAGCTGTCACGAATACTACTCCTTCTTGAGTGACAGTTCCCACAACACACACATATATTATTATATATATATATATATATATATATATATATATATATATATATATATATATATATATATATATATATATATATAGGGGAAATGCTTGCTGCGTCCTCGGTTCCTGTCCAGAAGCGGAGGAGCTTCAAGAGATCCATAACCTTTAGGCATTTGTCTTGTATGTTTTGTAACCTTTAAATACACAATAAAGGGAAAAAAAAAAAGGGAAGGGGGTGGTAGGAGAAAAGCACACAGAAACTGTATTGGAGGGGACCCACATTCCCTCCAATGCGTTATGTGTGGTTTCCTCCGAGGCTATGGGTCCCCCTTCTTCCAGCCAGAGGTGGTACTCCCTTCCATATATATATATATATATATATATATATATATATATATGTCGTACCTAGTAGCCAGAACGCACTTCTCAGCCTACTATGCAAGGCCCGATTTGCCTAATAAGCCAAGTTTTCATGAATTATTTGTTTTTCGACTACCTAACCTACCTAACCTAACCTAACCTAACTTTTTCGGCTACCTAACCAAACCTAACCTATGAAGATAGGTTAGGTAAGGTTAGGTAGGGTTGGTTAGGTTCGGTCATATATCTACGTTAATTTTAACTCCAATAAAAAAAATTGACCTCATACATAATGAAATGGGTAGCTTTATCATTTCATAAGAAAAAAAATTGAAAAAATATATTAATTCAGGAAAACTTGGCTTATTAGGCAAATTGGGCCTTGAATAGTAGGCCAAAAAGTGAGTTCTGGCTACTAGGTACGACATATATATATATATATATATATATATATATATATATATGTCGTACCTAGTAACCAGAACGCACTTCTCAGCCTACTATGCAAGGCCTGATTTGCCTAATAAGGCAAATTTTCCTGATTTAATATATTTTCTCTAATTTTTTTCTTATGAAATGATAAAGGTACCCATTTCATTATGTATGAGGTCAATTTTTTTTTATTGGAGTTAAAATTAACGTAGATATATGACCGAACCTAACCAACCCTACCTAACCTAACCTAACCTATCTTTATAGGTTAGGTTAGGTAGCCGAAAAAGTTAGGTTAGGTTAGGTTAGGTAGGTTAGGTAGTCGAAAAACAATTATTTCACGAAAACTTGGCTTATTAGGCAAATCGGGCCATGCATAGTAGGCTGAGAAGTACGTTCTGGCTACTAGGTACGACATATATATATATATATATATATATATATATATATATATATATATATATATATATATATATATATATTTCAGGATGTTGGCGAGGTGGTGACAGTCAAACGAGGAGGTAATTGTCATAACACTATCGCGGCGGAGACACAAGGTGGCGTCAGCCGGTATATAGCCAATAATTATACAATACTGTAACTACAGTATAGTTACAGCCAGCCCAGACGACGGATGGATGCTCAACAGCCTTGTATCGGCTTGATATCAGCAGGTGAGTACAAATATCAAATACAGTATTTGATATGTAAAAGATATACCTTATACACCAAACTTAAACAGATCAAATGATGGTGTGTATGTAAATTAGATTGTATATATATTATAGACCTAGATTTACCGGAGTCGGGCCTTACATATAAGCCTTGTGTAGTGGTGTACATGTTGGTGTCTGTTCTATTATGTGTTTACTGAACGAAAGGATCAGCTGTGTAACTAACTCCATCCTGGTGTTCTCTGGATACAAACAAGTGACGATCGATGGGCTCTCTCTGCGGACTAAAAATTTATAGTTGTCAAGTTTTATTTTTTTTATATTTACATGCAAGGCATGCGAATAAGTACAATATAACAAATACAAAAAAAGAACTAAACAAAGCAACTCACAAAATCACCGGCCTGAAGGGCCTACAACAATACAGAAACACGTATTACAAACATATCGTTGGACAAACACAATACCCAAGACACATCAAGACAGACAAGATTTAGGGGGTGATGTGGTGGAGGCTCACTCCATACACAGTTTCAAGTGTAGATATGACAGAGCCCGATAGGCTCAGGAATCTGTACACCTGTTGATTGACGGTTGAGAGGCGGGACCAAAGAGCCAGAGCTCAACCCCCGCAAACACAACTAGGTGAGTACATCAACATTACATAAGGGCAAACAATAACAGGAAAAGGAATACATAAAAGAAACACAGTAAACAAGCATAAAAGAACACGAACAGTACAAACTACAAACAAGTGCATAATTTTTTTTTGTCATTATTGCATGCGAGGAAAGACAATAAATTACAATAAAAACAACATAGGAAACAAAAACAAAAAACACCGGCCAGAAGGAGCGACAGCACAGTAAACAAAACAGGAGAAATGGAAGAGAAACAATCATACATCATGACCAAAACAAACACAAAATAGTAAACAAGTATAAACAACAAAGTAAAAAATAACAAGAAAACAAAACATAGTAACATAGAAAAGAAATCAAACAGAAGCACCGGCCGGAAGGACCGACAACATAGCACATCATGCAGCACAACATGAAATAGAACATAAGAAAGTCATAACATTACAACACGCCATAAAAAAATAAAAAAAATAAAAACAAATACAAGAAAGGCATAAATATAACACACAAGGCATAGTAACAACACATAATAAGAACAAGAACACACACACCAAACTACCGGCCTCGCCACAAACAAAGGGACAGACGAGCACATAATACAATAGGGCAAACAAACAGGTAAGACTTTTTGTACCGAAAAAATGTCAATTACTGAAAAGAGCGATTGGTCATATTTTGGCCAAACTCCCCTGCAGTTTTCAAAATATGTGAAATGTCGGAAATTTGAGTCCAGATCGTCATTTTTAAAACAAATTCTAGCTCTCTGCACCTTTTTGCATTTTTAAATTACGACTTTTTATACCGAAAAATGCCAAGTACTGAAAACGGCGATCGGTCATATTTTGCACAAACCCCCCTGCAGTTTTTTGGCCGCTAGCAGCGAAAATCGCGCGGTTTTTGGCCGTTAGCGGCAAAAACCGAGCGATTTTCGCCGCTAGCGTCCAAAAATCGGGCGATTTTCGTCGCTACCGGCCAAAAACCGTGCGATTTTCGCAGCTGGCTGGCAAAAATCGCGCGATTTTCGCCGCTAGCGTCCAAAAATCGGGCGATATTCAAATTACGACGTTTCATACCGAAAATATGCCAATTACTGTAAACGGCGATGGGTCATATTTTGCCCAAACCCCCCTGCAGTTTTCATAATGTCTGAAATGTCGGAAACTTGACTCCTGAGCGTGATTTTTTATCTGAATTCTGGCTCTCTGCACCTATTTTCAGTTTCAAATTACGAATTTTATACCGAAAAAATGTCAATTACTGAAAACGGCGATGGGTCATATTTTGCCCAAACCCCCCAGCAGTTTTCAAAATGTCTGAAATGTCGGAAATTTGACTCCTGAGCGTGATTTTTGAGCCGAATTCTGACTCTCTGCACCTATTTTCAGTTTCATATTACGACGTTTCATACCGAAAATATGCCAATTACTGAAAACGGCGATGGGTCATATTTTGCCCAAACCCCCCTGCAGTTTTTAAAATGTCTGAAATGTCGGAAATTTGAGTCCTGAGCGTGATTTTTTAGCCGAATTCTGACTCTCTGCACCTATTTTCAGTTTCAAATTACGACTTTTTATACCGAAAATATGCCAATTACTGAA